AACCTTAATTTGGCCGATTTCAATAATTTTCGATTTGTACCCGCAGCATGCCACCTCTCGGGGTTCCAAACCCCATCCTCAAGGTGGGCCCTAGTGATCTTAATGGGCCAGGCCTGCGCGAGGGGTGAGTCGCGCAGGGCCAGTAGGACCGTCCTCGAATACATTAATAATCCAGCTGTGGGAGATCAAAAGAAGGAAGGGGGGGAGGGCAAGGATTTTCAGTCTCGGCCACACCAAAGAGTCTGACCTCGGGGGTAGTCCTTAAGTCCTCTCGACCCACCAAAGGCCGCTGGAAGGGCCGTCGGGGCCACCGGGACTGCTAGAAGATGACTCCTTTAGCGACTATTCAAGGTTACAAGTGACTTATGTCTGGTCCTCACAGTTACAACCGTCACAGTATGGGTAGTCCTCGGCTTACAACCACTCATTTAGCGACCGTTCCAGGTTATGAGTGACTCATGGCCAGTCCTCACACTTACAACCATCCCAGTATGGGTAGTCCTCGGCTTACAACCACTCATTTAGCGACCGTTCCAGGTTACGAGTGACTCTTGGCCGGTCCTCACACTTACAACCGTCACAGTATCCTCATGGTCACAGGATTAAAATTAAGGTGCTTGGCAACCGGCATGGATCTACAACGGTCACAGTCTCCCGGGGTCACGTGATCTCCATTTTGCGACCTTCCCCGCCAGCTGCTGACAAGCAAAATCCATGGGGGAAGCCGGATTCGTTTAAAGACTGCGTGACTCGCTTTACAGCTTCAGCCATTCCCTTAACAATTGTGGCAAAGGGGACCTAGCATCAGACGCAACTCACTTAAACTATCACCTTGCTTACCAATGGAAATTCTGCTTCCGATTGTGGTCGTAAGCCGAGGACTTCCTGTACTATACCTGTGATGTCCCAAAGGTGCTTTTTCAGGAGGCAACTGGACTTTTTTGGTTTTTCCTTGAAGACGTTTCGCTTCTCATCCACGAAGCTTCTTCAGCTCTGACTGGATGGTGGGGAATGGAAGGATTTATACTCCTTGCAGACAGCTGGTCATTTGCATCCTTTTGGAGAGTCGTTGAGGCCACTTGGGGGTTTATCTGTAATACGACACCGTCTATCTCCAGTCTACCACAAAGTCCTTTCAGCAGCTTTGAGAAGGCTCCCCACCCATTTGCACCACTCAGGTGACCCTGAGGACACAGGTAAGTCTCCAGGTGGCCTCAACGACTCTCTAAAAGGATGCAAATGACCAGCTGTCTGCAAGGAGTATAAATCCTTCTATTCCCCACCATCCGGTCAGAGCTGAAGAAGCTTCTTGGAGGAGGAGGAGGAGGAGGAGGAGGAGGAGGAGGAGGAGGAGGAGGAGCAGGAGGCATGGCTGGAGTCTATAAACCTGCACCAAGCCCCCAGTGGACTCTGCAAACAATTCATGGTATTCATAGTAACCATCATTCCCTGAAAGAAGAGTTTGGAAACTGACCTCAGGTTTTGTAGCCGTCTGGTTCTCCCCTTCCGTGGCCATTAGGAACTCTGGTTCAACTGCAAGAGAAGCCAATTCATAATTTAACTTAAATCCTTCCTTCCTTCCCTCCCTCCCTCCTCCCTCCCCATCCCTCCCTTCCTTCTCCCACTTTTTCCTTCCTTCCTTCCTTCCTTCCTTCCTTCCTTCCTTCCTTCCTTCCTTCCTTCCTTCCTTCCTGTGTCATAGAATATATGTGAATATGTGGGTATATGCAATTTTTTTTGTTATTAATGAGAGCTGTATGTGACGAAATTTCATTTTAATGTATGCCGATTAGTGTACATTTAAAGTGATAATAAAGTTATTCTATTCTATTCTATTCTATTCTATTCTATTCTATTCTATTCTATTCTATTCTATTCTACTCTACTCTACTCTACTCTACTCTACTCTACTCTACTCTCTGTCCATCCATCCCTCCATCTCCCCATCAACATGCCATAAGAAAGTAAATTAATATGGTTGGTCGCAGCCAGATGTTTAGATTAGATTCGGCATCTTTATCCATCTATTGCATCCTTCCCAACAATCTGGGAACAGACAGAGTTAATGGTTAAAGGTCTCCATTGCAGGATGTCAGCTGTTCTGAGTAAAGCTGCCTTTTGCAATAACAACAACAAGAAGAAGAAGAAGAATAACAACAACAACAACCTGCTCAGGCAGGTAACCCTATACCATTTTGGACAAATGGCTGTCCTATCTGTTCTTAAAGACTTCCAGTATTGGAGCATTCACAGCTTCTGGAGGCAGGTTGTTCCACTGATTAATTTTTCTCACTGTCAGGAAATTCCTCCTTAGTTCTAGGTTGCTTTTCTCCATGATGAATTTCCATTGGCGCTTTGGAGAATAGCTTGACTCTCTCTTCTTTGGGGTAGACCTTCAAATATTGGAGGACTGCTGTCATGTCCCCCCTCATCTTTCTCTTCATTAAACTAGACATCCCCAATTCCAGCAACCGTTCCTTATATGTTTTAGCCTCCAGTCCCCTGATCACCTTTGTTGCTCTTCTCTGCACTCTTTCTAGAGTCTCAGCATCTTTTTTATGTCGTGGTGACCAAAACTGGATGCAGTATTCCAAGTGTGGCCTTACCAAGGCATTGTAAAGTGGTATTAAAACTTCCTGTGATCTTGATTCTAACCCTCTGTTAATGTAGCCTAGCACTGTGTTGGCTTTTTTGGCAGCTGCAGCACACGGCTGGCTCCTATTTAAGTGATTATCCACTAGGACTCCGAGATCCAATTGACCAACAGGGATTTTGTCAACGCCGATGGTGTTCCAGGGGCGCTCCAGATGTTTTGGGATTAAACCCAACACGCTTATCACTCTTGGTTCTACCTTTGCTTTTGCCACCGTCGTTCTATTTCTATTTGCCGGTCTTTGTATTTTGTGATCTTCTCCATTTGTTTCTCTTCTCTTTTTTTGTCCTCAGTTACTGCCACATCCACTATCCAGACTTTTTTTTGTCTTTCTTATCAACAATTGTTAAGTTTGGGGTGTTATGACCTCCAAGGTCCCTTCCGACTTTATTATTATTATTATTATTATTATTATTATTATTATTATTATTATTATTATTATTATTATTATTATTATTATTATTATTACCACTATTACCACTATTACCACTATTGTTATTATTTGGATTCTAAAATCCAAGAAGACTTTAATATAAGATTAAATAATATCATATTTAGTAAGTTAGTGGAGACCTTAATACTAAATTTAAGACAGAAATCTTTACTGTACGACAAAGATCGAGACAATCTGCAGCCTTTTTCTTTCTCTTCTAAATGTTATATTTAGTTCTGGGTGAAAAATCTAAATAATATGCTCATTAACCCTGACATTTCAAATCGTAATTAGTGCTGGTGGAACATTCCTCTTCTTTTTTAAAAATCTGTAATGGTTCTAGCTTATCTAAACACTAAAAGGTTAATCATTGTTAATACTGGTGCAAACACCACTGCATAGAAATAATCCAATGTATTATGCATGGTTCACAGCAATATAATTAAAAAAGGAAAGAAAACTAGACAGCGGGCAGGAAACAAATGAGCAAATGGAATGGCATATCCCCCAAAGGGACAAAGTGGACTGGCTGGCATAAAACACTCAGCAGAAATATTTGACTAGGATTGTGCATCCCAAACCATGGTTTGCCAAAGTCTGGAGCTAGTGGGGCATGTTCTAAAAAAAATAATCTATAAAATCCTACTAAGTAATCATTGATTAAAGAAAAATTTGGAGTCCTAATGAAAGAATTCTAGAAGTCTCAACAGCAAAGCCTAATAAACGTAGTCTTCGAATTACGGCCATTTATTTAACACCCAAAGTTATAACGGCACTGAAAAAAGGGACTTACAAACAGTCCTCGCACTTATGACTGTCCCAACATCCCCGCGGTCACAACTTCAAAATTTGGGCGCTTGGCAACCGATAGGTATTTACGACGGTTGCTACGTCCCAGGATCCCAGGATCTCCATTTGTGACCTTCCCAGTCAATGGGGGAAGTTGGATTCGCTTAACGACTGTGAGATTCACTTAACAACCAAAATGGTTCCCATCAAAACGTGACAGAAAGGTCATCAAATAGGCTCCGACTCATTTAACGACAACCTTGCTTTTGTTCTAGACAAAAATTTTATTTTCTTGCAGATATTCGGAATGGAGAAGGAAAGTTGGACTCTGATGAATGGCAGTTTATGCCAGCCGTCTCCAAACTTGGCAGTCTTAAGACTCGTGGACTTCAACTCCCAGAATTCTCCAGCCAACATGGCTGGCTGGCTGAAGAATTCTGGGAGTTGAAGTCCACAAGTCTGAAAGTTGTCAAGTCAAGAGACCTTTGATTTACACCAGTGCTGGAATATCCTGGCAACCCCAGAGAATGTCCAGAGTTGACCTACTCTGGTTTCCAGATTGTATTTTAAGAAACTTTGCTGGAAATACTGGGAAACAGTTGCTTCTTCTGCTTTGTTAATTGTGCTATCCTGACATCTTCTGGGGAAAAAATATCCCAAAGCATAATAACAGAATAACAGAGTTGGAAGGGACCTTGGAGGTCTTCTAGCCCAACCCCTTGCTCAAGCAGGAGACCCTATACAATTTCAGACAAGTGACTGCCCAGTCTCCTCTTGAAAACCTCCAGCAATGGAGCACTCACAACTTCTGGTGGCAAGCAGTTCCACTGGTTAATTGTCCTCACTGTTAGGAAGTTTCTCCTTAATTCCAGGTTGCTTCCCTCCTTGATTAGTTTCCATCTGTTGCTTCTTGTTTTACCTTCTGCTGCTTTGGGAAATCTCCAGTGCTGGAACACCTCCTACAGTTTCTGGAGAGGTAGGCCCTTCTACTGATTTATTGTTCTCACAGTCAGAAAATTTCTTATTATTTCTAGATTGGATCTCTCCTTATTGATTTCCATCCATTGTGTCTTGTTCTGCCTTCAGGTATGGTTGACCCCCTTCTTCTTTGTGGCAGTCCCTCAAATATTGGAAGACTACTGCAACGTCACTCCTAATTTGTCTCTTCATTAGACTGGCCATACCCGGTCACTGCAACCATTTTTTCATAAGTTTTAGCTACCAGTCAGTCCTAGAGGAGATCAACCCTGACTGCTCTTTAGAAGGCCATATCCTGAAGTTGAAACTCAAGTCCTTTGGCCACCTAATGAGAAGGAAGGACTCACTGGAGAAGAGCCTGATGCTGGGAAAGATGGAGGGCAAGAGAAGAAGGGGACGACAGAGAAGGAGGTGGCTGGATGGAGTCACTGAAGCAGGAGGCGTGAGCTTAAATGGACTCCAGAAGATGGTAGAGGACAGGAAGGTCTGGAGGAACGTTGTCCATGGGGTCGCGATGGGTCGGACACGACTTCGCAACTAACAACAACAAAAAGGACCGATGAACTGCTACAGGGTGTGATCAGAGTTGATCCTCCAGCAGGTGGGAAGGCGTGGACAGGCCTGGGAATAGATCAGACCAGCCACCCAATCCATTCCAGATCTTCAAAGAGGTGGTACCCAACCCAGAAGACCAGATCTTCAGATATCAAGGGCAGAGAAGACAAGGTAGGGATTGCAATCTGTAGGAACCCAACCCCATTGACAATTGTGGTGCCTTTGATTGACACAGCGAACGTTGGGCGGTGTGTAGAATCACTCGTGAAGTTTACGAACTGGCGCAGCCCATTTTTGCCTGTGCAAGTTCCTGAAATTGACCTCAGGGTGAGTGAGGGAGAAAGAGCGAGAGGCAACGTGATCTGTCTGTCAATTGTTTCTGCTCCATGTTGCCCATGCAGTGATGATGACGATGATGATGATGATGATGATGATGATGATGATGATGATGATGATGATAATAATAATAATAATAATAATAATAATAATAATAATAATAATAATAATAATAATAATAATAATAATAAAGTTGGAAGGGACCTTGGAGGCCATCTAGTCCAACCCCCTGCTCAGGCAGGAAACCCAATACCATTTCAGACAAATGCCTGTCCTGTCTCTTCTTAAAAACTTCCAGTGTTGGAGCATTCACCGCTTCTGGAGGCAGGTTGTTCCACTGGTTAATTGTTCTGTCAGGAAGTTTCTCCTTAGTTCCAGGTTGCTTCTCTCCTTGGTTAGTTTCCATCCGTTGCTTCTTGTCCTGCCTGCAGGGGCTTTGGAGAAGAGCTTGACTCCCTCTTCTTCGGGGCAGCCCCTGAGATACTGGAACACTGCTATCATGTCCCCCCTCGTCCTTCTCTTCATTAAAGTAGACACACCCAATTCCAGCAACTGTTCCTTATATGCTTTAGCCTCCAGTCCCCTAATCATCTTTGTTGCTCTTCTCTGTACTCTTTCTAGAGTCTCAGCATCTTTTTTACATCGTGGTGACCAAAACTGGATGCAGTATTCCAAGTGTGGCCTTACCAAGGCGTTGTAAAGTGGTATTCATACTTCACGTGAATCATCCAGCTGATGTTCATCCAGGCGAGTGAATCAAAGTTGGAGCTGC